AGGTCACACACTCACACACACACACAGTCTCACACACACAGTCTCACACACACACAGTCTCACACACACACACAGTCTCACACACACACAGTCTCACACACACACAGTCACACACACACAGTCACACACACACAGTCACACACACACAGTCTTACACACACAGTCACACACACACACTCACAGTCACACACACACTCACAGTCACACACACTCACAGTCACACACACTCACAATCACACACACTCACAGCCACACACACACACAGGCACACACACACACACAGGCACACACACACACACAGGCACACACAGTCACACACCACACAGTCACACACACACACAGTCACACACACACAGTCACACACACACAGTCACACACACAGTCACACACACACACAGTCACACACACACAGTCACACTCACACACAGTCACACTCACACTCAGTCACACTCACACTCAGTCACACACACTCACAGTCACACACACTCAGTCACACACACTCACAGTCACACACACACACAGTCACACACACTCAGTTGCACACACACACAGTCACACACACTCAGTCACACACTCAGTCACACACACACAGTCACACACAGTTGCACACCTGCACAGTTGCACGCTCATTCTCCCACTCGGCTTTCTCATTGATCAGAAGAGATCGCTTCGCTGTCGCTCTGTCTGTCTGCCTGCCTCCGTGTCTCTCTCCATCTCTCTCCATTTCTCTCCATCTCTCCATCTCTCCCTTTCTCCGGCTCTCTCCATTTCTCCGGCTCTCCTCTCCCCCATCATTTCTCCGTCCCCTCCCCGTGTCTCTCTGCACGTGTGCAGGAGTGCGGCAAGGCGTTCCGTTGGTCCCAGAACCTGGTGCACCATCGGCGCTCGCACAGCGACGTGCGCGAGTTCCAGTGCGAGGGCTGCGGCAAGGGCTTCAAGCACCGGCGCACCCTCGTGGAGCACCAGCGGGCGTACTGCGCACTACGGCGCCGGCCACAACGGTGGGGCGCAGCGCGGTGGTGACGGTGGTGACCGGTGGTGACAGGGACGGTGGTGACAGGGACGGTGGTGATGGTGGCGACGGTGGTGACGGTGGTGACGTGGTGACAGGTGGGGATGAGTGAGTGGAGTTTGTGTGTTTATACCCCTGTTCTGCAGAGTGTAGAACACACAAACCCCACTCAGAGTGAATGAGTGGAGTTTGTGTGTTCTACCCCTGTTCTACAGAGTGAGTGGAGTTTGTGTGTTTCTACCCCTGTTCTACAGAGTGAGTGGAGTTTGTGTGATCTACCCCTGTTCTACAGAGTGAGTGGAGTTTGTGTGTTCTACCCCTGTTGAGTGGAGTTTGTGTGATCTACCCCTGTTCTACAGAGTGAGTGAGTGGAGTTTGTGTGTTCTACCCCTGTTCTACAGAGTGAATGAGTGGAGTTTGTGTGTGCTACCCCTGTTCTACAGAGTGAGTGAGTGGAGTTTGTGTGATCTACCCCTGTTCTACAGAGTGAGTGAGTGGAGTTTGTGTGTTTTACCCCTGTTCTACAGAGTGAATGAGTGGAGTTTGTGTGATCTACCCCTGTTCTACAGAGTGAGTGAGTGGAGTTTGTGTGTTCTACCCCTGTTCTACAGAGTGAATGAGTGGAGTTTGTATGATCTACCCCTGTTCTACAGAGTGAGGGAGTGGAATTTGTGTGTTCTACCCCTGTTCTACAGAGTGAATGAGTGGAGTTTGTGTGTTCTCTACCCCTGTTCTACAGAGTGAGTAGTGGAGTTTGTGTGTTCTACCCCTGTTCTACAAAGTGAGTGGAGTTTGTGTGTTCTACTCCTATTCTACAGAGTGAGTGGAGTTGTGTGTTCTACCCCTGTTCTACAAAGTGAGTGGAGTTTGTGTGTTCTACTCCTATTCTACAGAGTGAGTGGAGTTTGTGTGTTCTGTGGGGGCGCTGGCCTCCGAGATCCCTCCCTCTGTACCGCTAACGGCCGGGTTAACCTCATTATTAACCTCATTACTCGCCCCCTCGCTACTAGGCGAACCGCTGTTGGGTTCTTCACCCATGGGGTGAGAGCCGTCGCTCGAGGATTCCCCTCCCCCGCGGGTCGCGTAATAGGCATGGTTAATTACGTACGCGCACACCCACACACAGCTCTGCGCGGCACTCACTCAATACAGACCACTCACGTTAGGATCGCGCACCTGTATTATACACGTAGTGAACGTGCGCGCACACACGCATACAGCTCCACACGCGATACCCACTCTTGCGCCGCTCTGCGCAGCGCTCGCCGTCTGCTGGCCGCTTACGTTATGATCGCGCACCTGGGGTACGCCGATTACGCACGCTGCGAGCTTACGCACACACAGTACCACACGCGTTCCCACACCGCTCACACTGCACGACAAGATCACGCGAGACCACGCTTCGCTATTAATGATTTATTACCTGGTAACTAATGTTCAATCAGTGAGTCGATGAGGCTGGCCTATTCCACTAAACCGGCACCTATTCCCTATTTATCGACTATTATCCTACTTCACCTCCCCCACTCCCTGTTTGGCGCCCGCGGAGGTTCGCTGCTCCCCTGCGCTAACAACGTACCTCGAGCGTCTCACGGACGTCCGGGTCGCTGGCTGGAGCTGCTTGCTGGTCTGCTGGCCTGGGAGAGAACGAGAGCGATTCCCCCTCTGCGCCCCTCTATTTATCTCCCCTACCTCAAAGGGGATGCTGCGCTGAACAATGGGCTCGCGATCCTCTGGCACGCGCACGGCGGTTCTGGGCGCTGTTGATATGCTAATCAGGTGTGCTGCGTGCAAGGCGTAAATCCTAATTAATCCCTTACCCTCCCTAACAATGGGGCCTGCGCGCTCAAGCGCAATTATCTCAACCCTCCATGACTATGCGCAACAGCCCCTGTGATCCCGCTATTCATGCTGTCCCGTGCCTCCCCTGCTTGCCCCGTCGACCGTGGGGTGTGTGTGGGGGGAAATGCGCCTCAACCGCGGTGGCCGAATGCCCCACGCCGCGACCACACCATATTAAGGCCGGCCGCAGCGCCGCGGTGCCACGTAGCACGGGGGAGGTCATCCAATTCCCTGATCGCCGGAAACCGTGAGAATTAATCCCGATAAGGGTCTCTCGGATAAAAACCGGTCGGCCAGGCGACCTCCCCTCGGAGCTCTATGGGGGGGGGGAAATGAGTGCGGGTGTGTTCATGTGAGGTGAGGTGAGGGGGACGCGGGGTCGGCTCCGTTGCTTGGTGGCGAGGTCGGGGATTTGGTGCCTGCCGAACGGCTTCGCGGCGGCGGCATCACATAGCCCCCCGAGGTGCCAGTCCCCGTCCCGGGTTGACTGGAGCACCTCGCTTGGGCCGCGCCCACGAGGAAACGTTGCGGGGTCCGGGGGATCCGTCCGGACCTGGTGGCTGGCCTCGGGGCGGGTGGTTCCGTCCTCTGTAGCTCCTGCGGCGGTCTCCTCCTCCACTCCAGCAGCTCTCCCCGTCCTCCGGCACCTGTGGGCTGGGGCACAAACTCAGCAGCGGAAGGGTTTAGCGGCCGTCGTCCGCGCCGTCTCCGGACTGGATCGGGGCGTCTCGGGGGCCCGGCGGGGCCCATGTAGTGTGCGAGGCCCCCCAACACGAGGGGTGCGGGTACTCCGGGATTTCGGGGCCTTCGGGTGACGGGGGTTCTCTCCCAGCGGGGCCGCTTTCCATGGTTTTTAAGCGGCGGACATTGACCACCGTCTCTCGACCCCCCTCCCCGCCATCAATTAGTACAGTCCAGGGGGAGATCTGTCGCACCACGGTCCAGGGTCCCCGCCAGTAGGTCGTCAGTTTCCCCACCTGCCCGGCCCCGACGCGAGGGGTGTGTTGCCACACCTTAGCGCCTGTCAGGAATAAGGGGGGTTCCATGCGGGGTCGGGTGCCCTGTTCCTGCCGCCGATGCGCGGCTTCCCCTTGCGGGTATGCTCGGCCTCGGGCTTCTCGCAGGGTCTCCAACAGGTGTTCCACGGGGCGGCTTCCCTCCTCCGGCTGGGGGGAAGGGACGCCGAATAGCAGATCTGCGGGTAAACGAGACTCACGGCCGAACATCATTAAAAACGGGGTTTGTCCCGTCGACGTGTGTACGGTGGTGGCGTAGGCGAAAAGGGCGTAGGGGAGGTGTTCATCCCAATCCCGTTGATTTGCGGCCGCCATACGTTTGAGTTTCCCCGCTAAGGTCTGATTCATGCGCTCCACCATACCGTTCGCCTGGGGGTGGTACGCTGTGGTTCGGTCCTTCTGGATTCCGAACTCTCGGCACAGTGCCTGGAACAACTCGGCCTCGAACTCGCTACCCTGGTCGGTGAGGACTCGTTCTGGGATCCCGTGCTTAAGTACGTAGTGTTCCACAAATGCCCGGGCCACCACCAAGGCCGTTTTATCAGGGATGGCCACTGCCACGGGGTAGCGGGTGAAATACTCTACTGCGACTAGGATATATCGGTTGCCTCGATGGGATCGCGGGAATGGCCCCTGTAGGTCGATCCCGACCAGCTGATTCGTGCGGCTGACGCGGAACGGCCTTAGGGGTACCTGGTATCGTGCCGGTTTCGGCCCGCACTGCTGACAGGCGCGGCAGCCCTGTACCCAGGCCGCCACGTCTTGTGCCAATTTGGGCCAGAGATACTGGCGACGCAGGGTCTCTCGAGTACGTCGTTCCCCATCGTGGCCCCCGAGTGGGTGGTCATGCACCAGCCGTAGCAGCTGGGGTCGCACCTGGGCAGGAACACAGATGCACCCCGGCTGGCCGGCCTCGGTTAACTCCCGTACCACTCCGTTCTGCACACACAACCGGGCATACAAACCGCTCCAGGGTCCTGGTAGGGCGCTCTTTTCCTCCCGCAGTGCCGCCTCCACCGCCGCCAGATCCGGATCTCGCTGCTGGGTCTGTCTCAGCTGCTCGTCGTTTAGGCCCGGGAAGGCGCAGCCGACGTCCTCCTGGATCCGTCCGATCGGGTCCCGAGCCGCGGGTCCCGCGCTTGCCGGGCGGTCGACGGGATCCTCAGTGCCACCTGTGAGGGTCTCTGTGGCGCACACTGCACTCTCTCTCGCTGGGGGGGGGTGGCCGCGGCCTCTCGGGGGTCCGTTGCCTGCCGGCAGCGTCCCCCCGTGAAACACGGGCAGGCCCTCCTCCGCCCTCGTCTCGGCGTACACCGTGGGTCGCCTCGACAAGGCGTCCGCGTTTGCATGCGTCCGGCCAGCCCGATACTCGATTTGCAGGTTGTACTCCTGCAACTGCGCCAACCACGGGCCATCTGCCCCCGCGGCTCCTTGAATGTAAGAAGAAACTGCAGAGCATAATGGTCAGTGCGTACGCGACATCTCCTGCCGTACAAATACGGCCGGAACTGTTTGCATGCGAAAATCACGGCGTACAACTCTTGGCGGGTCACGCAATAGTTCAGCTCGGCCCCACTCAAGGTCCGGCTGGCGTACGCGATGACTCGTTCCGTCCCATCCTGTACCTGTGACAACACCGCGCCCAGCCCGCTGCTGCAGGCGTCGGTGTCCAAAATAAAATCGGTGGTAAAATCGGGGAAAGCGAGGGTGGGGGCGTGGGTGAGGTGATCTTTGAGAGTGGTGAAGGCCGTCTGGCAGGCCCCCGTCCACTGATAGGGGTGCTTAGGGGAGTGAGTTGGGTGAGGGGGTGCAATCTCGCTGAATCCCTTTACAAATCGACGATAATAGGTGGCGAGCCCCAAAAATGATCTGATCTCCGTCAGATTCCTTGGCCGTGGCCACTCCACTACGGCGCGTACCTTCTCCGGATCGGTGTGCACGCCTGCCTCGCTGACGCGATGCCCGAGGTACCCCACCTCGCGTTGTGCGATGTAACACTTACGTGGCTTGAGCTTGAGATGAGCCGCTCGCAGTCGCTGGAACACCTCTCGAAGCCTGGACCAATGCTCAGACAAAGATCTACTGAACACTATCACATCGTCCAAGTAAATCAGGCACTGTTCCCATTGCAAGCCCCGCATCACCAACTCCAG